GAAAACAATATGTGTTGCTAGAAAAATTTTACGGCCCATGGGTTCCAAAGTTTCATTGCTGTTAAATGGACAAAGACAACATGTATTAAATAACACATCGTAATTTCAGTAATTTGTGTAAATGTGTAATTTCAGAATTACATCAGAATCACGTATCCGATATAGAAAACTACATTGTGAAATAATGAGATGACATGAGGACACTAACATAATTTTAAAATATGTTCACTAAAATTGTATTAATATTAAAATAATGATTTGGCAAGTTGTTANGTTCGACGATCACATTTATTCTGATTCTAACTATACATTTTTCAATTCAAAAACTCTTACTCGCTAAATTATTTTTTCCAACGAGTCACGTACAGCTGCTCCCCTTTTTCTATACATTCAACGAGCCAAACAGGTATACGCCCCTTTGAATATTTATACACAAATCCATGATACAATAATTTTTATAAGGTAGTTTCACTTCAAAAATTTTGACATAAACCGTGTCTGTGACAAACACGCAATGTGGCCACTGCTACGATATAGAACTTGGGGATTTTCGCTTGTTATTTTAGATATTTTTTAACAGAACATGTAAAGATTTATATGTTTCATAACTGATCACTTAATTTTAAATATAAATATACGTATTTAATACATACATTTTTGCCACTGCTAATCACATGAATAAAAATCATAAAAAGGGTTGGCTTTCCTTTATGGCCGTTCGTTAAAGGGGCGGTGGGCGAATGGTAAGTGGGCGTGGCACCTCTAACCCACCTTTTTGGAGAGGGAATGAACCGCCATTGACAAAAATGCAACCCCCGACCACCTAGGTCCCCTATGGTTCCCTAGGGACCCCTTAGAAAAATTGCCAAAAAGCACAATTTTCATTTGCGTTTATTCGCTTGAAATATGTTAAATATTCATTTGCACAATACATTTTTATATACACATTTTTATATACAAGACATTTTTATAAAACACCCAGTAACCAAAATAGACATCACTGGGCGGCAGCCCCAGGTTTACCACACAGAAAGTGAATTCTAGTTACCTCATCCTTTCCCAAGGTTACATCACTGGGGCGGTAGCCCTAGTTAGGTCACACAGAAAGGAGAATTCTACATAATAAGGGTTATAATCCCTAAGCGCGGCCGAAGGCCGCCTACGCAGAAAGGAATTCTACGCAAAAATACTGTGGACGCAAGTAAAAATTGCGATTTTTGGCCATTTTTCTAAGGGGTCCGTAGGGAACCATAGGGGGCCTAGGTGGTTGGGGGTTGCATTTTTGTCAATGGCGGTTCATGTCCTCTCCAAAAAGGTCGGTTGGAGGTGCCACGCCCACTCCCCCTTCGCCCACCGCACCTTTAACGAACTGCCATAATGGAAAGTTTCCCCCATAAAAATGAAAATATAACGGCAATATTTCTTGTTTATAATGGATTAGATCCATCGCACACCACGGACTTTATCGGCCGCCGATTTAGATCTTTCCATTGCACCACAACTTATTGGTCGGAGCGATTAAGCTGGTGTAGTGTGCGCACCTCCATACATCTTCATGTACATATTTCAAGCGAGCCCTATTATTTAAATAAACGGCCGATAAACTCTGAGGTATGCGGTGGCTCTTATAGCTGCATCCTTACACCTATTCCGTGTGTTGCAATATCCACGAAAGCAGCAGTTAACTTTTTATGAAGAAAAATATTGAAAAATATTCAAAAATTATTATTTATTTTTCCAACGTCAAAAGGTGGATTTTTTTGATTTGAAAAATTTGGTACAACAAAAAATACGAAACACGTTTTCTGTCAGATAGCTAACATGGCGGATAAGAAGAAGAAGTGAAACTACCTTCTAAAAATTATTGGCTGCGTTTCTTTATACATTCCGGATAATCCCATTTCACAGCCGGAATAAACAGAATGCGTTTGAAATATACGTCAACATATCAACAGGAACGTTCTAAAGAATAAATAAACAAAAAAGCTTATTCCAAACGTTCAGAATGAATAAAGAAATGCAGCCATTGTATCATGCACAAATCCATACAAAAATCAGGAATGAAATATATATACAAGTATTTTACAATATGAAAACACACAAACATATTTTCATATAAACCAGAACAAGACAACATTTAAGAATACATACATATACAATATTCAAACAGACAACCCAACAAGCAAAATAAACTTAAAGAAAGTTTTTTTTAAGTTTTCAATTATAAACATTAAGCTTACAAAACGTTGATTTTTTGTTTATAAAACGCTTGAAAGTAAGCGTAATATAATCGAAAAGGAACATTGGTTATAAGCGTAGAAATATAAGCTTGTAATAAATGTTCAAAAGAAAGCTTTTTATAAGCGTAAAAGTGTAAACTTATAATAAAGGTTCAAAAAGAGGTTTTTATAAGCGTATGAATATAAACTTACTAAAAATTTTCAAAAGAAAGCTTTTTATAAACATTTTTATAACCCTTTATTTAAAGATATTTCATTAAAAACTCATACATAGATTGCTTAACATCTAGAAACTAAACGAAATGCGAATTTTCGGCGGACTCATCTACAGTCGCGAAAATATAAATAGGGAATAGACATTTTAGCATACAAATTCACAATAACAAATACAAATTAAGCATAAAAAAGTTAATTATTACATCTTGTTGCGTGTTTTCAATTACTTGCGGTTATTGGCAAATTGGAAAAGCGACATCGATGCAGCTATATATTCCGCTTCATCGCCGCCATTCTCATTGATGATTTTTTCTGAAAAAAATTTAATACATTTTTAATTGAATGTTAAACTAAGAAAGGATAAGGGGAACTCATCATTTTAAGACTCGAATGCTCCACCGATTAGCGCAGCGGGTCCTGGATTGGACTTTTTTTTACCACATCGGTTTTATTTAATTTTTTCTTTTAATAATATATTTTAAAAAACGTAAACACGTCACTTACGATTGAAAAAATTTTATATTTACTACTTCATGTCGTTGGCATTTACATTTCATTTATAAGTTTAAGTTATTTATAAACATTCGCTCTCAAAACTTATTAAAGGTTTATTTGAAAAAACTTTTAATAAGCTTAATATTAAAAATGCTTATTTAACGCTTATTATAGCAAACTTAATTTAAGTTATTTTTAAAAACGTTTACTGAAATGCTTGTTGGGAAGAAACACAAACACATAAATATATACATAAATATAGGGGAAATGTAAATGAGAGTATATTGACGAACTATTATGTGTACCGTTTGAAACACAGCTTACTACATGAGTGCAAGTACGAAGTAATACAGTACACACAATACCACGTATACTACAATTCGGCCATCCTGATAATTGAGATCTCCTGATCTCCTTATTCAAATTGATTTTGGCTACGTCCCTCAAACCACGGTCGCAAATTTCCAACTGCCCATACACCAACATACGGTGTCCTCGACTGTTGAAAATCTTCAATATCTTTTACCACATAACGATCATTTTTCAACACCCTAGGTATCATATAGGAGCCTTTAAACTTTGGAATAAGCTTTTTCAACACACCAGTGTGCGAATCAAAATTTTTTGACATCACATAGTCCCCCTCTCTATATATGTTCGGAGGCTTTCGCTTGCTATTTACATACTCTTCATTATATTTTTGCAACTTCTTTTCATTTTCCAGAGCACTATCTCTAATATCTACAAGAGTCCTTGGTTCCTGCATCTGCACATCTTCAACAAAATTTTCTCTCAACAAATCTAGTACTTTTCCTCGTTGCCTAACCCCAAACAGCATTACACTAGGATACTCTTTTATAGTCCTATGTAAAGTGTTGTTTAATGCAAATTCAATGGTCTCAACTACATTGTCCCAGTAAACATTTTTATTAAAACTTGAAAGTTTTGCTATCATAGGACCTATGTTTCTGTTAACTCTCTCCACTTGGCCATTTGCTTGTGGTGATCCCGTAGCTATCTTAATATGTTTAACATTTCCTTTCTTAAAAAAATTAGAAATTCAACTGAGGTTAAACAACTACCTCTATCAGACACTATTGCTTTTGGACGGCTATACGATCGAAAATAATCCTTTAGTACACGAATTACTTTTATGGTTTTTGTTGTTTTCGTCGGATATAGTTTTACAAATTTTGTAAACGCATCCACCACATTCAGTAAATATTTCATTGATCTTGAATTATCAATCGGTCCAAAATGATCTACATGTACTACCTCGAAAGTTATACTTTCTTTTGGTATAGCATGCAAAAACCCTTCTTCTCGACCACGCTTAGCTGAAAACGTTATACACTGCAAACAGTTTTGTATATGATTCATAATTTTTTGTTTCATCTGAGGAAACCAATAACTTTTAGAAATAAGGTCCATTGTTTTGTTTATTCCTAAATGTCCCATCTCGTCATGATATTTATATAAGACATGGTTTTTCATATCTACTGGAACACNACCACACTTAGCTGAAAACGTTATACACTGCAAACAATTTTGTATATGATTCATAATTTTTTGTTTCATCTGAGGAAACCAATAACTTTTAGAAATAAGGTCCATTGTTTTGTTTATTCCTAAATGTCCCATCTCGTCATGGTATTTATATAAGACATGGTTTTCCATATCTACTGGAACACAAAATAAAACCAACCCATTTTCCTTTTTTCTATAGACCACACCATTACGCATTTCATAGAAACCATTTTCTTTTTTCTCCAACAAATTACGCAACTCCTTTAACTTCTGGTCCTTACATTGACAAACAATATATTCTCCTCAAATGTATTACTTTCTAAAACTAAAATATTAGTACAACGACTAAGAGCATCCACATGCTGCATGCGACTGCCTGACCGATGTTCTAACACATAATCATAATTTTGAAGTTCTAACG